TTGCAGAGCTTGGATTCATGGAACGAGTTTACCCAAAAATGTAAATATTGCAGAACAGACAGCCTCATGCTACATAACTAAGCTCCATTCCATGCTGAATAAACTAAATTAGTGATGTTACCTTAAATAGAAAACCATCTTTAGATAGATGTTTACTCCAAAAGCATTTTATTAAAATAAGTTTGATAAAAATCGAAAAAATCCGATTTAAATAAAATCTGATTTAAATTTTAAAAATCCGATTTTTAATTTTTTTTCATCAATTTTTAATTTTTTTTAAAAAAAAAATCATTGATTTTTATCCACCCTGTTGTTCAGGCTTAAGCACAAGAGTCTACTCAACTAAAGTTCAGGACTAAATTGGCCCCAGCTAAGAGTCAGTCACTTTGGAAGGAATACCACTAGAAAAAGTTGAAAGGATCATGTCCCTCAGTTCTAATTTCCATGAGAGCTGGAACATGGAACAAGGATAGAGAAAGATCAAACAGCATTCTTCAAAATGATCTTCTGGGAAAGCCAAGGGAAATCATCAAAACCATAAAAAAGTTAGAATATTTCAGACATGGGATGCGACACCTGGAAAAATACAGCATCCTTCACTTAATCCTCCAAGAAAGATTGAAGGCAAACGAGGTCCAGGCAGAAGAAGACCGTCATGGCTTCAAAATCTAAGGGACTGGTGTGGACAAAACTCAGCAGCACTTTTTCGTGCGGCTGTTGATAAAAATAGGATCGCCAACATGATCGTTGAATTCCGATGACAGATATGGAAGGAGAAGGAGGAGGAGGAGGAGGAGGAGGAGGAGGAGGAGGAGGAGGAGGAGGAGAAGAAGAAGAAGAAGAAGAAGAAGAGAAGAAGAAGAAGAAGAAGAAGAAGAAGAAGAAGAAGAAGAAGAAGAAGAAGAAGAAGAAGAAGAAATTCAAGGGGACTTGGACCGTGGCAATGTAACAACTCTAGGCTGATGACTTGTTTAACTCCGCCTCCCAACTGGCTGCTCTTCTCCCATGGCATCAAGTCATACTCCGTGGGAGAAGAGAACGATGAACCTTTTTTTAAACCAAGAAAACTACACAGAAGATATAAAATGATTGATGAGAACATACCTGGTCCAACGGCCCTCAACTTGCTACAGGTAGTCCTCAGTGGGTCTCTTGGTGCTGTGCTGAGGGATCCATAAAACAAGGCAACTATTCAGATGAAAATGCCTGTGGATGGGCCATTTAAGGATTGTTTCGAAGTCTTCCTTTGTTTCTTCCTGAAATGCAAGCTGACTTCTAGATAAGAGCTCAATACCTCCTCATTCTAAAAATTGGTTGGAGGGGGGGAGGGAACCCTAATGAAAAAACATGCTTTCTTCAAAATGATACTTTACTTGACTACATTGTAAGCGAGTAATTTGTAAGTAAATTCCTCCTAAATTTCCCATTATATGGGAAAACACTCTGTATCTCTATGTCTCTTTCTCTTTTGTTACAGTGTTAAAATAAAGTTAGGGATGTGTCCTGTTTTTTTTTGCAGTGGAGGTCACATTCACACTTTTTTTTAAAATTTGATTTATATGCGCCCTTCTCCGGAGACTCAGGGTGGCTTACAATGCGTTAAGCAATAGCCTTCATCGTTTTGTATATTTATACAAAGTCAGCTTATTGCCCCCACAATCTGGGTTCTCATTTCACCTACCTTTGAAAGGATGGAAGGCTGAGTCAACCTTGAGCCTGGGAGATTTGAACTTGCAGTAATTGCAAGCAGCAGTTGTTAATAACAGTGCTTTAGTCCACTGTACTACAAGCTCTTTATACTTTATACAAAATATACTTTTGTATATTTATACAAAGTCAGCTTATTGCCCCCACAAACTGGGTCCTCATTTTACCTACCTTAGAAAGGATGGAAGACTGAGTCAACCTTGAGCCTGGTGAGATTCGAACTTACAGTAATTGCAGACAGCTGGTGTTAATCACAATGCTATCAGTCTGCTGAGCCACCAGGCTCTTTTGACGGCATGACTTGGGGCCCGGACGCTACAAAAGGAACGGCGGAAAGTAGGACAAAAACTTAAATTAGACTCCCAATTTACATTTAATTAAAACTAGCCTGCATTTGGGTAAGGCTGTGTCGCATTTGGGGAGTAATTTGCCCGAGCTGCTTTTGCTCTTGCGAGGAAAACTCGTGGATTGAACATTTGGGGGAATTGGGGAAGGTTTGGGGGCTCAGGCTTAGGGAAGGGGTGTGTGGCTGTGGGACAGTTGCTTTCTACTGGGGGAAGGTTTTTAAATTGGCACGTGAAGGTAACCTTTTTATCCAAGGTTTGTGACTCACTGGGTTGGTTGGAGAAGTGATTGAGAAAAACATAGAAAGCATAGATAATTGACAATGGGTGTAGGTCGTAAACTTCAAAATAAACAGTGACTTTGTGCCATTTAGACTCTGTCCCTTTGGAGTTCCTTTAAACTTAATTAAATTTATCAGAAATATTTTTGATAAGCCCGTGCTTGGTCATAAGCATCCTTTAGAAGCCGAGTTGAAAGACCTCCTCCTCCTCCTCTTCTCCTCCTTCTTTTCTTCTTGCCCTCCTCTTCCTTTTTTCCTCCTCCTTTTCTTCTTGTCCTCCTCCTCCTTTTCTCTTCCTCCTTTTCTTCTTGTCCTCTTCCTCCTTTTCTCCTCCTTTTCTTTTCCTCTTCCTCCTCCTCCTTTTCTTCTACTTGTCCCCCTTTTCTTCTCCTTCTTGTCCCCCTCCTCTTCTTCTCTTTTTCTTCTTGTCCTCCCCCTTCTTCCTCCTCCTCTTCCTCCTTTTCTCCTCCTCTTCTTGTTGTCTTTCTCCTCCTCTTCTCCTCCTCCTCCTTTTTCCCCTTCTTTTCTTCTCTTCCAACTCCTCCTCCTTTTCTCCTCCTTTTCTTGTCCTCCTCCTCCTTTTCTTCTTGTCCTCCTTTTCTTCTCCTTCTTGTCCTCCTCTTTTTCTTCTCCTTTTCTTCTTGTCCTCCCCTTCTTCCTCCTCCTCCTCCTCTTCTCCTCTTTCTTTTCTCTTCCTCCTCCATTTTTTCTTCTCCTTCTTGTCTCCTCCTCCTCCTTGCAAATTCCATCACTTCATTGTTTCTGTGATAACATCATGACATTAGGGATGACACCATAGCTTCTCCTGGGCATCTGGGATAGAAGATCCAGGGACTCTCTTGTTTTTCTTGCTCTCTTGCTGGTATCAAAACAAGGATATGGAATCCTGATCAGGTCCTGCAGCTATAGTGAGAGACGAGATCTGGTTGGACACAGCCAAACAGGCATTAGGAGAAGCTTATAAACAGGAGCCAAGGATGTATATCTTCCTCCAACTTCTGTTAGCCAGCAAATGGTATTAAGAACCTCTCTCTTAGATACAAGACAAGGTGCTTGGGTGTCCATGTGTGCTAAATCATCATTTTATCTTGCCTGACTTTGATGGATATGTTGCATCATCCCAAACAGTTATGATTATAGTTACAGTTTGGTGTGTTGTGCTTTGTATTCTTCATTCAACCAACTAGGGTTAAAGCAAACCCAACTTGATTCCTTCCAGATGTAATGAGCCCATAGCAATATTTTGTCTGGGGAATTCAGGGAGTTGAAGTCCAAATATCCTAAAGTTGTTGAGGTTGGGAAATGCTGGATGATAGAGTTGACCACCAAGAGGTCCTAGATAGGTCTTATAGACACCTTGGAATCTTCTTAGCATCTTCTACCTTCACATGCACAATTTCAGGATTACTAAACTAACTCCAAGAAGGGTGATGTAGAAAAACCAGGCTGGATGTTCTCCAGAGTAGCCCTTTTTCCCCACCCCAAGAGGATTTCCCCACCATCCAGTCAGAGCTGAAGAAGCTTCTTTGGATGAGAAGCGAAACGTCTTCAAAGAAAAACCAGAAAGTCCAGTCGCCTCTTGGAAAAAAAAAGCACCTTTGAGACCACCACAACCTGAATGACTGAGAATCTTCATAGACAGAGTAGCCTAGTTACATTTTTTAAAAAAAACACGTTTTAATCATACCCCTATCTCAAGAAGTGGTTCGGTTTATTTACTGTTTTTAGGCTGTCTCTATTGCACGGATTTAAACGCGTAAATACAAAATCAATGTGTCATGGTATTATCTGCCATTAAAAGGACGCGAAGCCCATAATCTTGTGATTATGTGATTATAGATCTGAGATTTTCTTGAAAGGAAATTAAGAATAAGGAAGTTGAGTAACGGTAGCACGGAGAAGGAATTATCATTGATCTTCGTTACCTTGAAAACAAAAATTGCAGACATTTTCAAGAACAATCTGTATGGAAAGTTGCCTGTGAATATGGACAGGTCTGGTGGGTTTAAATTTGAAGATAGGTCAGTAACAGTGTTAGAAGGGACCTTGGAGGTCATCTAGTCCAACCCCCTGCTCTCGCAGGAGACCTGTATTGGGATTCGAACTGCTGAACTGGCGACCTTTCCGATCGACAAGCTCAGTGTCTTAGCCACTTGAACCACCTAGTCAGGTCATTTGAGCTACATTAGATTTGATGTCTATGGAGATTCTCAGCCATCCAAGTCGTGGTTGTCCTGAAGGTGCTTTTTTTAAAAGAGGCAACTGGATTTAACAAGCGTTGTGGCATCTCCACAAAATCCGGATACTTGGCAATGGGCTCACAGTTATGACGGTCACAGTATCCTGGGGTCACATTTTGCGACCTTCCGACCAGCAATGGGGAAGCCAGATTTGCTTAACAACCTTTTGTTCCTAACTTAACAACTGCAGTGATTCACTTAGCAACGGGGGCCAGAAAGGTGGTAGAAAAGAGGCAAAACTCACTTTACAACTGTCTCGCTTAACAGCAGATGTTTTGCACTCAACTGGGGTCGTAAATTGAGACGGCTTCTGTTTGCATTCTCATCCGGCACCAAATGGTAACTTTTTGGAAAATGCCCCGTTGGGTTTTGAACAGCTGTTTAGGAGAACTTGACTAATACGTTGGTTTGTCTGTTTTGGTCCTCAGGATACGCCGACGACTCGGGCTTTGATTTAGCAGATGCACTGGATGACTTTGTCCCGACGAAGAGACGTAAGTATGAGGCCGGTTGCTCCACATGTGGATACACATTGTGGGCAGAGTGGATGTTGGCTGTCGATTAGGAATCGGAGGGGTTGGGGCGATGTTCTGCAGGGAAGAAATGAGCTTGTCGATGGAAAGCTGACCACCCGGGTTCGAGACCCCACCGCCGTGCCACAGGAGTGAGTTCCCGTTCCTTGCTCCAGCTCCTGCCATCCTAGCCGTTCGAAAGCACGCAAATGCAAGTAGATAAATAGGTACCACTTCGGCGGGAAGGTCACAGCGCTCAGTGACATCATGCCTGGTCACATGACCGTGGAAAAGTCTTGAGAGAGCACTGGTTCAATGGCCCTTGAAACGGAGATGAGCACCAACCTCGAAAATCGGCCAAGACTAGCGGAATAAAATCTGCAGGCACTCCTTTAACTTTTTTTATAGGGTTTGTCGGCAGGCATCCTTCCTGCAATGATAGTTTAAAAAACAAAAAACAAAAGGCAAAAGTCAAGCTGAAAAAGAAGTATTTAGATTAAAAAAAAATATCATAAAGGCAAACTCCTCTCTCTCTCCTCTCTCTCTCTCTCCCTCTCTCTCTCTCTCTCTCTCTCTCTCTCTCTCTCTCTCTCTCTATATCTCTATATATATATATATATATATATATATATATATATATATCTCAGGTGGGTTTCAGCAGGTTCTGACTAGTTCTGGAGAACCGGTAGCGGAAATTTTGAGTAGTTCGGAGAACCTGTAGTAAAAATTCTGACTGGCCCCACCCCCCCATCTATTCTCTGCCTCCTGAGTCCCAGCTGATCAGGAGGAAATGGGGATTTTACAGTATCCTTCCCATGGATTGGGGAAGGAATGGCGATTTTACAGTATCCTTCCCCTGCCATGCCCACCAAGCCACGTCCACCAAGCCACACCCACATAACTGGTAGTAAAAAAATTTGAAACCCACTGACATATATATAATATCTATCTGTCTGTCTGTCTGTCTGTCTGTCTATCTATCTACCTACCGATCCACCCACCCACCCACCCTCCTACCTACCTACCTACCCTGTTTCCCCCAAAATAAGACATCCCCTGATAATAAGCCCAATTGGGCTTTTGAGTGCATGGCAATAAGGCCAAGTGCTTATTTCAGGGTTCAAAAAAATATAAGACAGGGTCTTATTTTTGGGGAAACATGCTATCTATCTATCTATCTATCTATCGATCGATCTATCTATCTATCTATCTATCTATCTCTATCTATCTATCTATCTATCTACCTACCTACCTACCTACCTACCTACCTACCTACCTACCTACCTACCTATCATCTATCATCTCTTTCTCTCTCTCCACACACACACACACACACACACACATATACATACATACATACAGATCCAATGTCTTAAAGCCTATTCTGGAATTTCCACTGGGAGGCACAGAAATAGAGATTTGCTCGGTCCTTGGGATTTGTCCGTCGGGATTAAAAAGATTATGCTCTTTTTAAAACCATGACGCGTTGGATAAACCAATGGCTGGCACTCCTGCCCTTTGATAAGACAGGAGACAGTGGGTGGGGCCACAATGCAAAGTGGGCGGGGCTATTTCATATCTGGGCGGGGCCTGAATATGCCAAGATGCGGAGGGGAAGGATAACATTTGGATCCTTACGAAAAGATTTTCGTAAGGATGCAATTAAAAACATTTTTAAAAAACGAACGGAAATTTTAGAGTTAAAAACGATGCAAATAAAAAGAAAAATGAAGAAAAGTGAGAAATAAGTAAAGAAAGAAAAGAAAAAGAACAGATATAAAGAAGCAGCTGTCGATGTATAAATTGGTTGTAAATGCATATATATTTCATCCTCTCTCTCTCTTGCTTGCTTTCCATATTCTACCCTTCCTAATTGCCAAGCTCATAAAACATGCATTCATTTCCTCCCCCCCCCATTTTGAGCAAAAAGCCCATAAACAGTTTCCAGTCACTGATATGAATGCAACTGAGATTATGTTCTGTATTTTTTAATTCCTGAAATCAGATAGCCTGTAACTCTGCCTGGAGGGGCTTCAGACAACGAGTTTGGGGCACATTTAATCCTCGAAATTCACCTCATTTGCACTGAAGCATAAACCAAGGTTTAGAACTCACCGTGGTTTAAATCCTCTTACTAAAAACTAAAAGCCCAACTAATGAAAACTGAGTTAGAGCTGGGCATGGAAATTCAGCATTCCCCCTGCCACAAACATCCCGTGTTAGAAACTGTCAAATGTCAAATGTAATTGAATGTAAACTTTAAACTTTTTAACAGCTTCAGCTTCCTTTTCTTGAACTTTTAACATCAGTTCAAGGTGGCCCTGCTCTTTAGATATAGTCTGACTGAACTCCGAGGACGTGTATGTCTTACTTAGGAGTAAACCCAGCGAAGAGTGCTGGGTCAGCTCAGGCTGGTTTGGCATCGCCGCGGAATCAAAAATGCCATTAATTCTGTCTTTTTGTCTTTCCCAGCTACTCACAAGCCGCCCAAGAAGACTTCAGGTGGCACAGGTGAGATGTTAGCTCTCTTAAGCCTTTAAATCAGCTGAGGGTGCTCTCCCACTACAAATCCTATCCTCCCCAGCCATTGAGTGACTCTTGGCTTTATGGTAAGGTAGGGTAATTTGCTGGGGTTCCCCCCCCCCACTTTTTTCTTGACAAACAGCAATCCAGGAAGTTGCAAGTACAAGCCGATCTATTTCATTTGGCGGTATCCTCAGTCTTTGTCTTTTAATGGGACCTTGGCCTTAGTAACCCTGAAAGTGGCCTACCTGGGAGTCGTGCGGTGGCCTAGAGGTGGAGCTCTGGCCTCCCAATCAGGAGGCTGTGAGTTCGATCCTAGGTAGAGGCGGATATTTCTCTCTCTGGGCACGATGAGAATATATCTGCAGAAGAAAACTCCGCGTTGGCAACAGGAAAGGCATCCGGCCAGTAAACATTCAGCTCCATTCAGTTGGCCAAACTCCACTCTGCAGGGGATTATGGGGTCATTAAAAGAAGATGATAGTGGCCTACCTGGGAGGGCTGTTGGGAGGATATAAGGACACAAACCTGTAGCAGGACTCAAGAGCGTTGCGGCGGCCTCACCTTTTGGGTGTATGTGAATGATATTGTGATGCCCACAGAAATAAAAGGGGGGTGGGGGGGTTACGTTGCAGAAAGGAAATGGGTGTTCCCTGCAGTAAGTAGCTCTTTCTATCGGTCTCCTTGATTTCTCGAGCAGGAGAACTCGATCAGTTGGATTTCTTTGATTCCCCACCGGAGAGAACCACCAGGCCTGCAAAGGCCACCACTGTCCCTTATCCAAGGAAACCAGGTAAGGACATCCTGGTCCCTGGGTTTGGCAAGCTTGGACGCTGGGCTGCCCTCTCCTCAAGCCCTGGGGGCGGGGTTGGGAGCCCAAAGCCTACTTAATGGGGTGGAAATACGACTTTGGGTGGCAAAGAATTCCTTCCTTCCTTCCTTTTCTCTCCCTCCCTTCCTCCCCCTTTCCTTCTTTCCTTCCTTCCTTCCTTCCTTCCCTTTCCTCCTCCCTCCCTCCTTTACTTTCCTTCCTTATTTCTTTCTTTCATCCCTCCCTCCCTCCCTGTCTTGCCCCCTTCCTACCTCCCTCCCTTCCTCACCTCTTTCTTTCTACCTCCCTCCCTCCCTTCCCTCCGTCCTTCCTTCCTTCCTCTTTCTTTCCTTCCTCCTCCCTACCTCCTTTTCCTTCCTTCCTTCTCTCCTTCCTCCCTTACCTTTTTCTTTCCTCCCTCCTTCTCTCCCTTCCCTCCTTCCTGTCTTGCCCCTTCCCTCCTCCCTCCCTCCCTCCCTCCCTTCCTGTCTTGCCCCTTCCTTCCTTCCTTTCTCTTTCCTTCCTCCTCCCTCCCTCCCTCCTTTTCCTTCCTTCCTTCTCTGCTTCCTCCCTTACCTTTTTCTTTCCTTCCTCCCTCCCTTCCCACCTTCCTTTCTTGCCCCTTCCTTCCTTCCTTCCTTCCTTCCTTCCTTCCTTCCTTCCTTCCTTCCTTCCTTCCTTCTTTCCTTCCTTCCCTCCCTCCCTGAATGCAACTAGGCTATTTATTTGTGAACACTGCTATACATTTACAAAACAACAAGGGTGACCACAGTTCACAAACCAGCTTCCAAACAAGCCCAATGAAGCCAGAATCCCTAACCCCCAAGGAGGATTGGATCTGGTTGGAATTTGGCTGGGATACCACCAGGTGATAGGCAGGATTGTAGAAAGGGGAATTAAACATCATCCTGCCCGGGGTGTGTGTGTGTGGGGGGGGAGAGCCAGGTACCAGCTTTGCTGTTTTCCCTAACATGGGCTAAGGGTTGAGAAGGTTGAACCACACAGCTTAGCCCGCATGTATTTGGTCTCGATTTTCCAAAACTGCGGCTGGACATATTTGGAAAGGCAACTGAGTGGGGAGGGCTGGGCTAAGCCGATCGCTGGGCACCCTGGGCTGAAGGGTTTGTGTTCTCCGACTTGCAGATGATGGCCGCTGGAACATTCCCCATACCACCACCACCAAACAGCCCAAAACTACCAAGCCACCCCCGAAAAAGACCGCAGGTAATTTTTAACCACTATGAAACCTCAAAGGCCCCTTTAGAAATCTGGAAAACAATCTGCCTGCTACCTTGGACATCCAAAGACGTGAAGGTGGGGATGAAGACATGGAGCTCGATCTGGTATTGGAAGAGAACAGAGCAGAGCAGGGCCTGGGTGGGATTTCCCCAGGGGTCTCCTCACTTCAAAAGCTTTTCCTCCTTTACTGTAGCTATTCTCTCTGCTTTCTCCTGTTTGGCAGGACAATGTAGATCTCTGAAGATAATTTGGGGATCTGGGGATGGCTGGGTGGATGGACAGATGGACAGATGGACGGACAGACAGATGGACATTAGGTTGGTTGGATGGATGGATGGTTGGTTGGATAGATGATGGATGGATGGATGATGATTGGATAGATGATGGTTGGATGGATGGATGGATGATGATTGGATAGATGATGGTTGGATGGATGATAGTTGGATGGATAGATGATGATTGGATAGATAGATGATGTTAGATGGACGATGGTTAGATGGATGATGGATGGATGGATTATAGTTGGATGAATGGATGGATGGATGATGATTGGATGGATGATGGATGGATGGATGGATGGATAAGAGAAGACAATCTATTACATAACTAGAGTATTTGGAGTTCTCAGGCTGAATTTGGGGATTCAAACTTCCTTCCTTGATATATGTGTTTTCCTGACATTCAGTCTGATTTCTATAAAAGCCTTCACCAACTCTGACCCTCAACATGTAGAGGTGTTGGCTGCAAGGCCTGATGTTCTCCCATGGCTGAGATCCTGGTGGTGGCTTGGAATTCAAGACATCTGGAGACTAGCAGGTTGGGAATGGTTGGTCTTGTGTTGAGGTGGTGACCATTACATGCATCAAAGTCAACTCAAGATGAACCTATGCCTAGGAAATATTATAGGAATTACGGGACGCCTGGGTAGATTTCTTCAAACCTTTTTCTTACTTCTCCTAAGAGGTTAAGTCTTTTTTAGTGGAAAAGAGTGGCGATGCTAGAAACCATAACGCCCTCATCTGCTAATCTTATAGGGAAAGACCCCATGGATTTCGACTTAGCCGATGCTTTTGATGACCAAAATGACAGATACCCTGGGGGTGGACCACCTAAAGGAAATCCTGGTGGAGGTACGTTGATCATTCTTCTTTTGGTTGGTCGAGATAGACTTCTGCACCCTCCCTTCCCTCTCCCTACATCCGTTGCTGTTGGGGGAAGAAATTTAACAACCGATTCTCTGCCCTAATGTCCAGCTGCGTAGGCGTGGCTCAGTGGTCATGTGACCGTGTGGGCGTGTATGCATGGATGGATAGGTATGTATGTATGTATGTATGTAGGTAGGTAGGTAGGTAGATATAGATGCAGCTAGATAGATGCATAGATAGACAGACAGATAGAGATGCAGATAGAGATAGATGCAGATAGATAGATAGATGCAAGAAGATAGATGATAGAAGATAGATAGATAGATGCAGATAGATAGATGCAGATAGAGAGACAGAGATGCAAATAGAGATAGATAGATGCAGATTGAGAGATGTAAATAGAGATAGATGCAAATAAGATAGAGATGCAAATAGAGATAGATAGATGCAGATAGATAGATAGATAGATGCAAATATAGATGCAAATAAGATAGATGCAGATAGAGATAGATAGAGAGATAGAGAGTGAGTGAGTGTGTGAGAGAGGCAGGCAGGTTGTTTTAGTGCTCCAGGTTGAATTCTCACTTTCCTTTGTCGTGTGCTAAACCAACCCCTGCTATTTTCCATGATCAGTTAATGAATAAAGAATCCCGTTCCAGGCTCCAAAGGGGGAGATAGAAGAGGTGGAAATCCTGGTAAGGGGTCTCTCCTTGGCTCCCGAGCTGCTCTCTCTCCTCTGTCCCACCTGACTGCCTTTGCTCGCCTTTCTCTCCTAAGTCCAGTTGTTTTGTTTTGTTTTTTTTTAAAAAAAATCACCCTCTGACTGATCTCCTGTCTAACCCAACGAGAAAGAAGGGATCTTGGACACCTGTGCTTAATTTGGCCTTGCGAATCAACCTCCTTTCCTTCCTTTGACTCCTCCCCCCCCTCAATTTCTGTGACCTGCTTCCAGAAAAGTAGAGCTGCAGGTTCCGTAGGAGATCAATGTCCCACGGTGGGCGTGGCCTAGTCGACCTCCTGCACCATGGCAGGGGGGCAGGGTGTTTTTGCCCTCCCCGGGCTCCAGAGGCTCTCTGGAGGCCAGAAACAGATGAACTTACGGGAGGCTCATGTTTTGCCCTCTCCGAGCCTCTGCGCGCATCCTGCGCTTACCTGCATTCAAAACAGGCCGCGTGGGGATTCCTGCGATGAGCGGAGTGGGCGGGGCCAGCCAGGAGTAGAATTTGGGGGTTCTCTGAACTGCACAGAATCTTAGCTAGAGGTTTTCCCGAATCTCTGCGAACCCCCAACAGCCCACCCCGATCTCCATCCCTAAAAATAAATACATACAATGAACTGGACTGTTAATTTCTTGCATGAGATTTTTTTCAAGCAGTTGCTTTTTTTCCAACTGGCTGTTACCAATGCATGGGGTGAATTCTCTGTCTACTCTAACCTGCTAAAAATCCTCGTACAGGTGACCAGTTCCTGCTAGGACTGGTGGTCAAGGACGATGGGTAGGACAAGAAGTAACAGGTGGAAACTAATCAAGGAGAGAAGCAACTTAGAACTAAGGAGAAATTTCCCGACAGTTAGAACAATTAACCAGTGGAACAACTTGCCACCAGAAGTTGTAAATGCTCCAACACTGGAAGTTTTTAAGAAGATGTTGGATAACCATTTGTCTGAAGTGGTGTAGGGTTTCCTGCCTAAGCAGGGGGTTGGACTAGAAGACCTCCAAGGTCCCTTCCAACTCTTCTATTCTATTCTATTCTATTCTATTCTCTCATCTCCTCCTCTATTTATTCTATTCTATTCTATTCTATTCTATTCTATTCTATTCTATTCTCTTCTATTCTATTCTCTCATCTCCTCCTCTATTTATTCTATTCTATTCTATTCTATTCTATTCTATTCTATTCTATTCTCTCCTCTCCTATATCTATTCTATTCTATTCTATTCTATTCTATTCTATTCTATTCTATTCTATTCTATTCTCTCGTCTCCTCTCCTATATTTATTCTATTCTATTCTATTCTATTCTATTCTATTCTATTCTATTCTATTCTATTCTATTCTATTCTATTCTATTCTATTCTATTCTATAGAAGCATCTTCAATTATATGAGAGGCATTGAGCCAGATCCTACAAAGAGTGAAAATAAAACAGTAAACATTCTGAGGGTTAAAGCATTTCACTTTTTAAACAAATCTGGCACTTCTGGATTTAGATTAGATAACAACTAACATCGCGTCAATCAACTTTTATAACTTTTGTTCCAGCCAATAACTCCTTTACTAACCCGCTACGCATCAATATCTAAGAATTATTTTTCTTTTCTTCTTGAATGCAGTCCTTCTACTTGTGGCTAAAAAAAGGATAAATTTGGGGGAAGGGTAAATTGAGTGATTAAAAAAAAAAAGAGGGAGAGAGAGAAATGTGGGATTTTAAATAAGCGGATTTTACTTGGACACCTTAGGAATTTCGGATGATGACCTGATTGGAATCGTGGACGAAGGAGGTTATCAGCCTGATAAAAAGAAAGGTAAATTTTTCCCTGCTTTGGTTGGTTGTAGTGAAATATCCGGACTGCTGTGGAGTTGCTGTTGGCAACATGTTGAAAGCTGTAAGTTTAGCTATACAGTCGTCCCAAAGGTGCTTTTTCAGGAGGCAAGTGGACTGTCTTGTTTTTTCTTTTGAAGACGTTTCGCTCCTCATCCAAGAAGCTTCTTCAGCTCTGACGGAATGTTGGGGAATGGGAGGATTTATATTCCTTGCAGACAGCTGGTCCTTTGCATCCTTTTAGAGGGGCGTTGAGGCCACTTGGAGGTTTATCTGTGTCCTCAGGGTCACCTGAGTAGCCCTCCTGGTGCTACTCAATTTTTTTTTTACTACTGGTTCAGTGGGCGTGGCTTGGTGGGCGTGGCGTGGCTTGTGGGCGTGGCAGGGGAAGGATACTGCAAAATCTCCATTCCCACCCCACTCCAGGGGAAGGATACTGCAAAATCCCCATTCCCCTCCCACTCCTGGGGAAGGATATTGCAAAATCTCCATTCCCACCCCACTCCAGGGGAAGGATACTGCAAAATCCCCATTCCCTCCCCACTCCTGGGGGAAGGATATTGCAAAATCTCCATTCCCACCCCACTCCAGGGGAAGGATACTGCAAAATCCCCATTCCCTCCCCACTCCTGGGGGAAGGATATTGCAAAATCTCCATTCCCACCCCACTCCAGGGGAAAGATACTGCAAAATCCCCATTCCCTCCCCACTCCTGGGGGAAGGATATTGCAAAATCTCCATTCCCACCCCACTCTGGGGCCAGCCAGAGGTAGCATTTGCCGGTTCTCCGAACTACTCAAAATTTCCGCTACCGGTTCTCCAGAACCTGCTGGATTTCACCCCTGAACTGCATCCAGATCATTGGTACCCGGGAGAAATTATCTGGAAAGGGTGCCAGCTGGGAGGAGAGTATCAGCACAGAGAGGCATTGGGGTTATCTCCTGCTTTGGGGATCTAGCTTGGATTCTGCACTGGAGAAACCTTAATGATCTGAATTCAACGTTTGAGGGGCTGTCACGGAAAGGAGAGGGGAGTTCAGCTATTCTCCAAAGCACCTGAAGGCATGACAAGAAATAATGGATGGAAACTAATCCAGGAGATTAGAACTCAGGAGAAAATTCCTGACAGTGAGAACAATCAACCAGTGGGATGGCATCCCCTCCAGTAATGGTAAAAGAGCCTTGGTGGCGCAGCAGACTAAAGTGCTGTTAAGTAGCTGCTTGCAATTACTGCGAGTTCGAATCTCACCAGGCTCAAGGTTGACTCAGCCTTCCATCCTTCCGAGGTAGGTAAAATGAGGACCCGGATTGTGGGGGCAATAAGGTGACTTTGTATAAAAAAAAGAACACTGCTTTTGGGGGGAGGGTGCGAAAGCCCTACTAAGCAAGTATATACAAAAGTATGAAGGCTATTGCTTAACGCATTGCCAAATTATTTAATGTGGCTTTATACTGTTTTAAATTTTGTAATCTATGTGGTTTTTATTTTTTTTGGCTGTTCACCGCCCTGAGTCCTTCGGGAGTAGGGCGGTATATAAATCTAATAAAAATAAATAAAATGAAAATTGTAAGCCGCCCTGAGTCTCCGGAGAAGGGCGGCATATAAAATCGAACCAATATATAAATAAATAAATTGTGGGTGCTCCATCGCTAGAGGCTTTTAAGAAGGAATGTCACTAGTTTGCAGTGCTATAGGGTCGTCTTCTTTTTTTTAAAATTTGATTTATATATATATATGATTTATTTATATATTGATTTATTTGATTTATATGTCTTCTCCGGAGACTTAGGGTGGCTTACAGTGCGTGAAGCAATAGCCTTCATCCTTTTGTATATTTATACAAAGTCAGCTTATTGCCCCCACAAACTGGGTCCTCAATTTACCCACCTTAGAAAGGATGGAAGGCTGAGTCAACCTTGAGCCTGGCGAGATTCGAACTTACTAATTGCAGACAGTTGGTGTTAAATTGCAGAGCTCTGTCTGTTGAGCTATCCAGGCTCCCTGCTTGAGGTCTTTTGCTTGAAGACCTCCAAGGTCCGTGTTCATTTGCCGTTGAACACCGTGGGATCCGATGGGACGGGAAAGGAGCGAAAACTTAAGGCACGCAGGTGTAAATAAGGCACTGGCGTTTCTCTGTAGATGCGCCAGATTGTAGGCATTCCTTCGCTGGCGTCTGAGCACACCACAAAGGGCTCATTCTTTCCCAGCCACTTGAGTGTTTTCCTTCTCCAATTAGAGAATGGAGTGGGTGGGTGGGGGGGGGAGGAAATTACCGCTTATGCTGCAGCGGGCAGAAATGTGCAGACAAAGCATTCATTTCTCTGCAAACCGCACCCACTTTCTCGAATGCGCACGAGGCTAAATTTATAATCAATCTCATTTATTGCTCCTGACGCAGCAGCGGCTTAATTAATACGAAGGGCCAGCCGGGGGTCTGCGCGCGGGGGCTGCGATTTGCAGCGCCTTCGGTTCGGCACTTCCAACTTCCCTTCGTCGACATATTAGGAGATAATTAAAATGGCCCCGGGATTGATTAATTGATTATTTATCTATTTGTTTAGCTTGGCACCCCCTGGGCGGCTTGAAATTGGCTTCGGAGAGAACGGAGGAGGACCCGGGGGGGGGGGGAAGGGGAGGGAAGCGGTTAGTGGGGGGGCTTCTCCCTGCCAATCATCCTCCTTGCTTTCAACTCCAAGGTGTAAATCAGTTGTATGTCAAAAGGGAAGATTTGGACGGAGGGGGAATGTAGGGCAGGTGTGGTCGTCCCTGCTGGAAGTCCACAGGGTTTTTTTAAACAAAGATCTCCTGATTTTACTCTTGGCTTAATGAGTTACAGGAATTCAGTTAACGAACCTGTCCAAAAAAAAAAAAAGAAAAAAAGATTGTAACCATCGTGCTTGACTCATAGGAATGACCGTCTTGCTTAGCGATGTAAATTCTGGTTCCGATTGCAGTTGTAAGTCAAGGACTTACCCCGTACCTGTACTATAAACTGGAGAAGATCCATAACTCGTTTTTTTTAGACTTTTAGGGGGGGCCCTTCATAAATGTTGGGCGTTCTCTGTGAGTTATGGGTGACTGATCCCTTGTTGTTTGTTCTTCTGTATAGGAGACAGCGAGAACGATTACAATAACGGTAAGTGCGCGTGCTTGCGACAATCTCAAGTTTCTTTTCAAACCATGGATGGAGCAAAGCTTGAAAAGGCGGGGGGGGGGGAGATTTCCCATAATCCCTGGCCTTTTGACATGGCCCTTTTGAACCCCTTTCTTGGTTCAGTTCAGTTAGCTTTATTGATTAGCCTATAGGCTCATGATGGTGAACCTGTGGCACACGGAGCCATATGGGTGGACACATGAGCTCAGCTCCGGCGCCTGATTTTCGGGCCTTCTGGGCCCACCGGAAGTCGGGAACACAGGCTGTTTCCAGCCTCCGGGGGTAGGTGGGGAAGGCCCGTTTTTCGCTCTCCCCAGGCTCCTAGAAAGCCTCTGGTCTCCGTGATCATGCGGCCGACATGACTAAACACCAAAGGCGCACGAAACGCTGTTACCTTCCCACCAAAGGGGGTCCCTATTTTTTCTACTTGCATTTTTTTTTTACATGCTTTCGAACTGCTAGGTTGGCAGAAGCTGGGACGAGTCACGGGAGCTCACCCCGTAAACGCGGCACTGGGGACTCGAACCGCTGAACTGCCGACCTTTCGATCGACAAGCTCAGCGTCTTCGCCACTGCGCACCCTACAACCTAAAACCTCGTATAAAAACAATAAAAGTAATAAAAGAAGAGTCATATAATGAATTAATATAATAAAATCACCCCCCCGTCCCCTCCCCGCCCCGACGACAGCATTTCACACGAGCCATTTAATGGGCCTCCATCCCGCTCTGCGTTCCCCAGGCCCGCTGGCAGAATCAGATCTTCAGCTCCTTCCGGAAGAGTGCTAGAGTGGGGGCCATTCTAATCTCGGGGGGGGGGGGGATGATGTTCCAGAGAGAGGGAGCCACCACGGAGAAGGCCCTTCTTCTGTGTCCCACCAGGTGTATCTCCCGAGGGGATGGGACCCGCAACATTCCCTGCCTCCTCGCTCTGATGGGTCGGGTAGATGTGACCGGCAAGAGACGGTCCCTCAGATTACCTCAGAATCCAAAATAATGGTATGGTAGAACAGAGGTGTGTCAGGAACAGAGAAAAGAAATTAGGGGGGGACTTTCAATAAACATCTAGGATGCAGGTCATCATCAGTAATGGTCTCTTCTCCTCCACTTCTACAGGTGCCCTGGTGGAAACCGGGACAATTGCTGGTATTGTCAGTGGCCTCGCCATGGCCTTGATCGGCGCCGTCAGCAGCTACATCTCCTACCAGCAAAAGAAATTCTGCTTTAGCATACAACGTAAGTGTCTCTAATCCCCACCCCACCTTGCAGGAGATCTGAGCCCACTATCTATCTATCTCTATCTATCTATCGTTTATCTATCATCTCTCTCTCCTGTATCTATTATCTATCTCTATCTATCTATCTATTATATATTATCTATATCTACATTTACATCTATCTATCTGTATTGTATTATCTCTCTCTCTCTCTCTCTCTCCCCCTCCTCTCTCTCCTCCCTCCCTCCCTCCCTCTCTCTCTCTCCTCTCTCTCCCTCCCTCCCTCTCCTCCTCTCCCTCCCTCTCTCCTCTCTCTCTCTTCTCTCCCTCCTTCCCTCCCTCTCCCTCCCTCTCTCTCTCTCTCCCCCTCCCTCCCTCTCTCTCTCCTCTCTCCCTCCCTCTCTCTCTCTCTCCTCTCTCTCCCTCCCTCTCTCCTCTCTCTCTCCCTCCCTCTCTCCTCTTTCTCCCTCCCTCTCTCTCTCTCTCTCCTCTCTCTCTCCCTCCCTCTCTCCTTTCTCCCTCCCTCTCTCTCTCTCCTCTCTCCCTCCTTCCCTCCCTCTCTCCCTCCCTCTCTCTCTCTCCCCCTCCCTCCCTCCCTCTCTCCTCTCTCTCCCTCCCTCTCTCTCTCTCCTGTATCTTTTATCTATCTCTATCTATCTATCTATCTATTATATGTTATCTATATCTACATTTACATCTATCTATCTGTATTGTATTATCTCTCTCTCTCTCTCTCTCTCCCCCCTCTCTCTCCCTCCCTCCCTCCCTCTCCTCTCTCTCCCTCCCTCTCTCCTCTCTCTCTCCTCTCTCCCTCCTTCCCTCCCTCTCCCTCCTCTCTCTCTCTCTCCCCCTCCCTCCCTCTCTCTCTCCTCTCTCCCTCCCTCTCTCTCTCTCCTCTCTCTCCCTCCCTCTCTCCTCTCTCTCTCCCTCCCTCTCTCCTCTTTCTCCCTCCCTCTCTCTCTCTCTCTCCTCTCTCTCTCCCTCCCTCTCTCCTTTCTCCCTCCCTCTCTCTCTCTCCTCTCTCCCTCCTTCCCTCCCTCTCTCCCTCCCTCTCTCTCTCTCTCCCCCTCCCTCCCTCCCTCTCTCCTCTCTCTCCCTCCCTCTCTCTCTCTCCTCTCTTTCTCCCTCTCTCTCTCTCTCCTCTCTCCCTCCTTCCCTCCCTCTCCCTCCCTCTCTCTCTCTCCCCCTCTCTCCCTCCCTCCCTCTCTCTCTCTCCTCTCTCTCTCTCTCTCCTCTTTCTCTCCCTCCCTCTCTCCTCTTTCTCCCTCCCTCTCTCTCTCTCTCTCCTCTCTCCCTCCTTCTCCCTCCCTCTCTCTCTCTCTCCCCCTCCCTCCCTCTCTCTCTACCTCCTTCTCCCTCCCTCTCTCTCTCTCCTCTCTCTCCCTCCCTCTCTCCTCTCTCTCTCCCTCCCTCTCTCCCTCCCTCCCTCTCTCTCTCCTCTCTCTCTCTCTCTCCTCTTTCTCTCCCTCCCTCTCTCCTCTTTCTCCCTCCCTCTCTCTCTCTCTCTCCTCTCTCCCTCCTTCCCTCCCTCTCCCTCCCTCTCTCTCTCTCCCCCTCCCTCCCTCTCTCTCTCTCCTCTCTCCCTCCCTCTCTCTCTCTCTCCTCTCTCTCTCCCTCCCTCTCTCCTCTTTCTCCCTCCCTCTCCCTGTCTCTCTCTCTCCTCTCTCTCTCCCTCCCTCTCTCCTTTCTCCCTCCCTCTCTTTCTCTCCTCTCTCCCTCCTTCCCTCCCTCTCTCCCTCCCTCTCTCTCTCTCTCCCCCTCCCTCCCTCCCTCTCTCCTCTCTCTCCCTCCCTCTCTCTCTCTCCTCTCTTTCTCCCTCTCTCTCTCTCTCTCTCTCCTCTCTCCCTCCTTCCCTCCCTCTCCCTCCCTCTCTCTCTCTCTCCCCCTCCCTCCCTCTCTCTCTCCTCTCTCCCTCCCTCTCTCTCTCTCTCCTCTCTCTCCCTCCCTCTCTCCTCTCTCTCTCCCTCCCTCTCTCCTCTTTCTCCCTCCCTCTCTCTCTCTCTCTCCTCTCTCTCTCCCTCTCTCCTTTCTCCCTCCCTCTCTCTCTCTCCTCTCTCCCTCCTTCCCTCCCTCTCTCCCTCCCTCTCTCTCTCTCTCTCCCTCCTTCCCTCCCTCTCTCCCTCCCTCTCTCTCTCTCTCCTCTCTCTCCCTCCCTCCCTCTCCTCTCTCTCCCTCCCTCTCTCCTCTCTCTCTCCTCTCTCCCTCCTTCCCTCCCTCTCCCTCCCTCTCTCTCTCTCCCCCTCCCTCCCTCTCTCTCTCCTCTCTCCCTCCCTCTCTCTCTCTCTCCCCCTCCCTCCCTCTCTCTCTCTCCTCTCTCCCTCCCTCTCTCTCTCTCTCCTCTCTCTCCCTCCCTCTCTCCTCTCTCTCTCCCTCTCTTTCTCTCCTCTCTCCCTCCCTCTCTCCTCTTTCTCCCTCCCTCTCTCTCTCTCTCTCCTCTCTCTCTCCCTCCCTCTCTCCTTTCTCCCTCCCTCTCTCTCTCTCCTCTCTCCCTCCTTCCCTCCCTCTCTCCCTCCCCCTCTCCTCTCTCTCTCCCCCTCCCTCCCTCCTCTCTCTCCCTCCCTCTCTCTCTCTCTCTCCTCTCTCTCTCCCTCCCTCTCTCCTCTCTTCCTCCCTCCCTCCCTCTCTTTCTCTCCTCTCTCTCCCTCCCTCTCTCCTTTCTCCCTCCCTCTCTCTCTCTCTCTCCTCTCTCCCTCCTTCCCTCCCTCTCTCTCTCTCTCCCCCTCCCTCCCTCCCTCCCTCCTCTCTCTCTCTCTCTCCCCTCTCTCTCTCTCTCTCTTTCTTATGGGCCCAAAGTCACAGAATCGGAAGAAAAGAAATACAGAAACCTATAATACATATGACAGAAAAGGGAATTGAACATAGGGGTAGACCTCTGTACCTGTGCAACATATTCTCTCGGTGTGCATGTAGAAATTAACAGAAGGAACATCCTTAGGTCTAGAAAAGCGTTTGAGAAAGGCGGCAACGCAAATGCCCTGCAAAAAGGCAACAGGAAATTAAAGTTAATTATAACGGAGGATTAATTTCAGCCATCAGACATGGCATGCTGGGATAATGTCAGACTTTGGATGCATGGCAATGCACACGGCGGCTCCTGAAGGGACTTTTCTTTTCTTTTTTTTTATGGAAATGGCATAAAACAAGCCTCTCGGCTGGATTCACACGTGGCATTTCGGATGCCCCGATTTGGTCCGGTTTAATGGCAGAAGCAAGTGATGGATGAGATTTAATCATCATCCCGTCTCCAGATTTCAGCTCACGTTTTCTCCCCAGGGTGGTCCCAACCCTGATCTAACTCGTTGAATCTGTTTGATATGGAAAAAAAGCAGGAATGCAAAGATGTTTTTTAAAGGAAGAAAGAGGGAGGGACTTGGTGCTAGAAATTGTATAGGTGAGGTTGGGACAAGGCTATCGACTCCTGTAGGCCACGTTGGGTGTGATGATTCACCAACATCTGGAGGTCCATGAATTCCTCACCTGTTTTGGAGTTAAACTGGAGGTTTAAAAATGCAAATAATATCAGAGAAGGAGAACCGGAGCACAAAAACGTTGTTTAAAATCCAAACCTCTATCTGGTTTGCCTTTTAGTCAAAAATATCGCATTTCTCTTTCTCCGTTAGATGATGCAAGCCATCTAAAAGGGCTTTAGGGAGCACCCAAATCAGGGGTCAGCAACCTTTGGCTCTGGAGCCGCATGTGGCTCTTTCACCCCTCTGCTGCGGCTCCCTGTCACTCAAAATATGCGTCACAACCGCCAATGTGCGACGCCCACCGACACGCAATTTATTGAGCTTTTCAACCCCCGGTAGGCCAACCATGGATAAATCCAAGAAAAGAAAAGTTTCAGAAGGAAACAGAACGTTTAATTCAACTACATATGCTAGTTTTGTGGCCGCTCAAGAAATAGTCAGGCACGGGAAGGGTTTTGTGACTCCCGGTGTTTTCTTTTCTGTGGGAAACGGGTCCATAAGCCGCGGTGGCGCAGTGGTTAGAGTGCAGTACTGCAGCTACTTCAGCTGACTGCTAGTTCAGCAGATCAGCGGATCAAATCAAGGTTGACTCAATCTTCCATCCTTCCGAGGTGGGTAAAATGAGGACCCAGATCGTTGGGAGGCAATATGCTATTTAGTATACCGTCTTTGGTGTAAGCCGCCCAGAGTCCTCGGAGAGTGGGCGGCATAGAAATATGAATAATAAATGGCTCTTTGAGTGTTTGAAGTTGCAGACTAGAGATTTAATCTTACAAATCAGGGGAAGGTAGCCTATTTCAGAATTGTTTCGCTGCTATCTTGGCTGTCGTCTCTCAGGACTTCTTAGAAGTGTCCTCCGGTGGTTCTGCGTTGAGCTTCGGTCGTCTCACAACCTCTGTGCCAGTTTTAATTTTGGGTGTCAAATCTCTTCTGCTCTTTGCTATTTTTAGAGGGCCTGAATGCAGAATATGTGAAAGGAGAAAACATGGAGCAAGTGGTGACCGAAGAGCCACAAGGTGAGTGAGTGAGTGTGTGTGTCCTTAAGGTCACACTGTGTCACAAGGCGGTGTGTGTGTGTGTGATGCACAGTGTCCCAACTTTGTGGTGACAGCTCAGGAAGGGCCTGGTTTTTGAAGGCCTGCAGAACTGTAGCCTGTGTGTAGACCACGAGTTGTGACTGTACTTTATTTCCAAATATGTATCTAGGGCCTTCGCTTAGATGTCTTGGGCTTCTTTTGTTGGAAGCAAGGTCTTAGTAGGTCTTTAAGCCTTCTTCTCGATTTCCCAAGATGTCCCACCTCTGAGGAGGTGAAATGAGGAGAAAAGCCAAGGGAAATCATCAAAACCATAAAAGAGCGGAAGTTAGAAAGTTAGAATATTTTGGACCTGTGATGCAACGGCTGGAAAAATACGGCGTCCTTCACTTAATCCTCCAAGGAAAGATTGAAGGCAAATAAGGTCCAGGCTGAAGAAGAACATCATGGATTTAAAATCTAAGGGACTGGTTTGGACAAAACTCAACAGTTTTGTCCTGCATCCAGTTTTGGTCAAAACAAGATGTTGAGACGTTGGGAAAAAGTGCAGAGAAGAGCAGCTAAGACGGTGAAAGGCCTGGAGACAAAAACATAGGAAGAACTGGTTGCAGAAATTGGATATGGCCAGTCTAGAGAAAAGAAGGACCAGGGGAGACATGATAGCATGTTGGGGCTACCACAAAGAAGAGACAGTCAAGCTATTCTCCAAAGCCCCTGAGGGCAGGACAAGAGGCAATGGGTGGGAACTTATCCAGGAGAGAAGCAACCTAGAACTAAGGAGAAATTTCCTGACAGTGAGAACAATTAATCAGTGGAACAACTTGCCTCCAGAAGTTGTGAATGCTCCAACACTGGAAACTTTTAAGATGTTGGATAACCATTTGTCTGAAGTGGTGTAGGGTTTCCTGCCTAAGCAGGGGGTTGGACTAGAAGACCTCCAAGGTCCCTTCCAACTCTGTTATTCTCTCCTCTCCTCTCTTCTTCTCCTCTTCTCTCCTCTCCTCTCCTGTCCTCTTCTCTTCTCTCCTCCTCTCCTCTCCTCTCCTCTCCCTCCCCTCCTCTCCTCTCTTCTCTCCTGTCCTCTTCTCTCTTGTCCTCTTCTCTTCTCTTCTCTTCTCTTCTCTTCTCTTCTCTTCTCTCCTCTCCTGTCCTCCTCTCCTCTCCTCTCCTCTCCTGTCCTTCTCTTCTCTTCTCTCCTCTCCCCTTCTCTCCTCTCCCCTTCTCTTCTCTCCCCTCCTCTTCTCTTCTGTCCTCTCCCCTTCTGTCCTCTCTCCTTCTCTTCTCTTCTCTTCTCTTCTCTTCTCTTCTCTTCTCTTCTCTTCTCTTCTCTTCTCTTCTCTTCTCCTCTTCTCTTCTCTTCTCTTCTCTTCTCTTCTCTCTTCTCTTCTCCTCTCCTCTCCTCTCCTCTCCTCTCCTCTTCTCTTTCTTCCCGTTCTATTTTGATTGATTGATGAACGTGGCCTTCTATAGTTGCAGGCGAGTGTGCATGTTTCTTATTTTCCCACAAAACCAAACTAAAATTTTCTCTTTTTTTTTCCTTCCCTAGTGAAATACTCTGTCCTAGAACCCCAGACAGCAGAAGCTCCGCCGCCTCAAGAAAACGCAAAAGTCTGAAGTCTCCGCCCTCCGGCTTACTTTAAAAAAAAAAAAAAAAAAAAGGAAACCAATTGTTGGCGCAGAAAAAAAACAAAACAAAAAACAAAACGAAACACATCACACACACACGAGCGCACACACGCACACACACATCCACACGCTCCTCTCACACAATTTGTAATTTAGCTTTGAAACGAAACGTTTTCATTTGGATTCCAAAGCGATTTAAATGTGCATTTTCCCCCCTTTGACTAGGGCAGGCTTCTTATTTGTGGTAGGCTTGTAGAACTGGTTGAAAAAAAGAAAAAAAAGAAAAAAAGAAATGATGATGATGATGATGATGATGTTTTTTCGGGGTTGATTTTTGTTTTTGTTTTTTAATTTTTTTTTAATTTTTAATATATCGTTTTGTGACGAGTCGTAGGTTTACATTGCCATGGGTCATGTCTGAGCTTGGGTCAGGTTGAATATGAGATGCAACAGTTCTTCCAAATAGTTGTTTCATCGTAGAAGTAGGGGTGGTTCATATATGAATGACATTTTGATGGGACGGGATGCGGAAGAGGAGGCGGCGGTGGCGAAGGTGACAAAAGAAACAGGTGTGAGAACAATGGAAGTGCCTGTAGGTGACCAACCCCAAAATAGACCAGGTGGAAAGCTTTAGCCAAGTTACACGTAGAGCTTCCGTCGAGGTCCTGGTGAGCTCCTTGAGGAGATGGGCTTCCAAGAGACAATTCAAGACCGATGCGACAGCCTTTCATAGGTCGGGGGCCGAGAAGAGACTGTGGCCCTACAGAACTGGGCTTCATTTCAGCTAGGAACAATCGTCCATTGTTGGGTTTGCTTTGAGTAGGATGAGGGATCTGTGCGAATACACGGCAAGAAGCTAAAGGGGAACTGAGCCTGACTGTGCTTACCGCCGAAAAGGGCTCTTCCTCCCCACCTGTTTAGTGGTCCATTTGGGCAGAATACGGGGGCTTCTGGCTTCTTGTTGGTTTTTTCCAACTTCGCGGAAGGGTCTCTCCAAAGCTTGAATTTGAAGAGAACAGCTTGAGAGGGAAGATGTACCGAGGGGTGCATTGATTCATCTGCATACCCGACCCTGCACTCTAGTTCGGTCTGAAGGGATGAGACGTCCAGCACAGAATGAATGGGCTAAAATCCAGAAAAGGGATTTGATTTCGGGAAATGCCCGCAACGGTGATTTTGAAATGTCGCGCCTTCGGGTTTTCGAGGCCTGTTGGCTTCAAACATTCTCCAGTAGGTATTTTAGGGGCCCGTCATCACATCCCAAGGATTCGTACTTCGGGCCTGGGGTTCCCCAAGGAACTCGATGTGAGTTTAGTTGGATTGTGGGCCGCTGTGTTTTATTTGGTTGTGTCCAGCCTTTGAAAGGTCCTTTTCAAGGAGAGGATGAGATGTTGGCCACTTGAGCTCTTTGCCTGGTTGGAGCCCAACTTTTAGAACCTCCTTCTATACATGGAAGGTGCCCTTTTGTTTGTGTCTCTTGGCACATCAGAAAGCCTCTGGGTCCTTCTCCTAGGAAGGCCCAGAGACCACATAGAGCTGAGCCAAGATGGGCTCTCCTGGGTGGGATTTGTCCTATTGGCCATCATCTGTACCCAACAAGTAGTACAAGGTTGCTTTGTCATCTCTGGGGGAGGAGAAACCATCCCTGAGGGTAGGATGAGACAGGCCGTTGCTACCTAAATCCTCCATCCGGTTCATATCAAACCAGCTTAGCTGCTCTCCCCATTGTGCCTAAACAGTCACTTGTTGGGCTTAAATTTCCTTGCCTTAACTAGAAACCACGAAGAGAGTCTTAGGAACAGTGGTGAGATACCTACTACTGTTCGTGGTCTCCTTTTGGTTGGCTCTTGAAGGGGAAGTCCACTCCTAGCTCTACACCAGGGTTGTCTACCCTTGGCCGCTTCTAAGACTTTGTGGACTTCAACTCCCAGAATTCCCCAGCCAGCATGTCTTAAAAGCGGCCAAGGCTGGACACCTTACTTTACACAGTGGTGCAAATGGGGATTCCCAGAAAAAGGCCACGTGGCTGCCAGTTGTCACTCTTTCCCAGATCAAACCTCGATCCCTGGTTTGTCTTGAATTTAGCTGGATCCCAGTTATAATTTTTATATTCCCACAGGGGCACCAGAGGGAAGTGTGAAGACAAGGGACTTTCTAGCCTTATTTTGGGAGAATTTTGATTAACAACTACTATCGGTGTTAGCCCAGAGGGATCAGCAACAGCCCTATCCTGTGGAGCTGAGCAAGAAATGAGCTTGAATGCTGGCCCATGTTGGTCATTCTCGACCTAAGTCCTGTTAGCCGTGCATTTCACCATTGTAGCAAGGTGTACATTTTCACATGCAAGATTAGGGTATTTTTATTTTTTAAATATCTCTTTAGTGCATGTATCGGTCCATGATATGTATTACACGGTGTTGAAGGGGGGGGAGGGGAAAAATTGTGGATCAAATACCTAATTTCAGATTTCATTTACAAACTAATCCTGTTGTGATGTTTGTAGAGGGACTTTTCTGGTAGGGTTTCAAGGCGGGAATCATCGGAGCTAGAGGTCTACATGGCGTGGTCAAAAAAAAAAAAGGCCCAGGTGATGGTCACGGTGCTTAAAAGAATGGACAGAACTTCAAATGTGCTAGCGTGGCTGCCATATTTACGTTTTTTTGACCACATTTCGTGGACCTACCAGAGCGAAGACTTCGTTTGATTGAGGCATGTTCAACCTTCTGTAGATGTTGCTGTGTGTTGAGGAAATTTCCGGATGGATCTCTTAATGTCAGGAGCACGACCAGCTGTATCTATAGGGGTTTAAGGAAATTTTACCCTGAGACCCTCATCTTCATCCATGATGGAGGTGACTCCCATGGATTTCAGCAGAGTGTCAATAATACGAGGTGGCTATAAATGCCAGCCCAGATGTTGGTGGGGATTCCTTCTGCTTTGGTTAGGCTTCATAATTTGCAGTCCTCAATAAGACCTTTAACAAAATGTGTATATTTTGGATGTACTAAATTCTCTTTATCTCACCCCCATCTCTCCCCATCTTCTAATTTTATTGTCTTTTAAGACTCAAAATTAGGACTTGGAAGGCCAACATGGCGGAATTAGAGGAGGACTGCAATTTATTTAAGGAAGTCGCTGAGATGACTTCTCTTTGGTGGGATTCTCCTATGGAGGGATTCTCCTATGAGGGACTCGCAGTTCGACCAAGAGCTACTTTAGGAAAATAATTTTGAAGGTTTCCCATTTTTGAGGTGGCCCTAAATTTTGTAGAGCAGAGAAGTCCAAGGTGAACTCAACCACACAGAGGAAATCTACATCATAGCCTCTTTCCAACTACCGTCTCTCTTTTTTAAAGAAAGATAAGTCAAGTACATCAAACATTAGACTAGGGTTATAGTGATGCATCTTTAGATAAAATAGTGGGGAAATGGTGGCTGTACTTGGACTAGAAATCATTTTTCTCACCTAGATGGAAATTTTCTTTTCTTACTTTCTTTCTTTTGGCCAATTACGGAGAAACGTTTACTGTAGGTGTAAAATTGTCTGTTTCGTTGTCTTTCTATTACTGTCCTGCCACTGATCTACATCTTGAAATACTGTGTCTCGGAACAGTTTTGCTACTACCCACATCGATGTTTGAAAAATGTGATGTATTGCAGATTCTATGAACAAAAATAATAAGAAGAATAAAATTGTCCCGAGTGTTAAGGACAAAAAAAAAAGAAAAAATAGCTACCAGGTTTTCAAGATGTAGCAGTTGATCAAACTGTGAGGTACTTCCTTTCCCCAAAAGTCTTTTTGTATGAATTTGGTAAATGGTTATGCCTTAATGTAAATTTTAGATAGTCCAGCGGAAGGGAGGTATTTGTAGAATACAACTCAACGTCGGGTACAAAGAGCAACAATGACTGTTATTGCCTCCCCAGACCACAATCAACAGCGTAGTCTTCCCCAGAAGTCAAGACTTAAAAGTTCTTGTGCCCTGGTTTAGTTCTTTCCTGAACAACAATGGCCCAGGCATGGTCTCCATGGAGTGGGTTCCTGTCTCCAGGCCACCAAGGTGTAGGAGGAAGACCCTACCAGGTTGACTTTCCGACCTTCAGAAATCCTCCTGTGGAGCAGGAGAGGTCTACCAGATGGGTGTAGGACAACTCGCTGCGGCCAGCTCACTGTGGGACAATTCAATGTTGCATTGATCATTTCATTCAGTTGCTTTTTATCATGGGTGACCCTGTTTTTGTTGACATGTACTCTTGTCCCAAAGGTGTTTTTTTTCCAAAGACAACTGGACTTTGGGTTTTAAAAAAAAAATTCCTAGAAGATGTCTATGGAGATTCTCAGTCATCCAGTCATGGGTGTCCCAAAGGTGCTTTTTTCCAAGAAGCAACTTCCTGGTTTTTCATTGAAGACGTTTTGCTTCTCATCCAAGACGCTTCTCCAGCTCTTGCATAGGTAAATGTCTATGGAGATTCTCAGTCATCCAGTGAGGGTTGTCCCAAAGGTCCTTTTTTTTTCAAGAGGCAACTGGACTTGAAGACGTTTCGCTTCTCTTCCAAGAAGCTTCTTCAGAGGTGAAGGAACTCCTTGGATGAGAAGCGAAACATCTTCAAGGAAAACAACCAAACAAAAACCAGTTGGCTTTTGAGGAAAAAAACTCCTTTGGGACAACCATGACTTGGATGACCAAGAATCTCCATCGATATTGTTCAGTCTTGTATTTCTGGGATTGACATTATTTTATGATTATCGTTCACGGTTCCGTCGAAATTTAACTTTTTTTTTTAATTGGTTGAATTGTCCCTTGTGGGGAGTTGACCATGATGAGTTGGCCATGGCAAGTTGTCACCCCGTACCAACTCTATTGCCCTTGAAACACCCAAAGTTAGAAACGGAGATTAAAAAAAAACCCCCATGTTGAAGATGATACAATTGAGCCTGAGATTTTGTGCAACAAGACGATTGTGTTTGACCCGTTTGGGGCCGTTGTTGGAAAGTTGAGAGATTCCAGGGATCAACATTGGAGAGTCATTTGCATGCCAGACATGTGCTCCTTTTCACAGAACTTTGAATCTCTTTCCCCCACTGGGGATTCTTTTCCGTTGTCTGTATATTCAACCCAACAGTATGTTTGGCTTTTTCCTGGCTAACTTCTCGGTATAGCAATGCCAGCTGTGCTGTACCACACCTCCGGGAAAGCGGGTGTCTGCGTGTCCGTTTCCGTTTTTTCTACTCTGCTTTTTTTTAATATGGGTAATTAAAACGATCCGTGAGCTGAAAGGCCGCATCACGTCGGCGTAGCCAGATGTTCAGAGCGGGACAAAATAACAGGCATTTGAAGTCTTCCATCAGGCCAAAGATGTATATATATATATGTAGAGATCACATATTGTGCCCTGAATTTATATGCAACACGTGTTCTTGGAAGTTAAAACGAGACATCTAATTAAGAGGAGAAGAAGAAAAAAGAGTTTCCTGTTAGGAGAAAACGTAGGAGGAACTCTAGCCACTTCTACTTTTTAAAAGAACTGGCATAGATTTTTTTTTAACCTTTCTCTCCTTCTCGTTTGCAATTTCTTTTCTTTTGGCAAATACGGACCGGTGTCAGTTGTCGCTTTCTCGTAACAACCGACAGGAAAACGGTTCGCTCGTTGTCCAAGCCTCTGCTGCGGTGGGAAGGTTTAGCGTTCATCCGAAGTGGTAGAACCGAAGAGCGGAAAAGCTAGAACAAAAAACAAAAGGAGGGAGGAAAAATGGGAAGGGGAAAAAAAAAAAAAAAGGAAGCGATGAGATCGGA